TAATCTGCTTAATCTTATTGCTAGGAGAAGAGAGGGAAGAGAAGATGGGAGAAAAATGAATTCAAATAGATGGACTGGAGAGGCAAAGAAAGTAAGAGGAAATGTAGCAAATTGTCAGGGAAAAGCGATGAGCAAAATACCACATCATACCAAGGATGAATTGGTATCCAGTAAGTGGCTCCAGTAAGTGAGAAACTCCTACCCTGGAAGACAGGAAAAAACCAGGCAGGGCATTTTTCCTTTAGAAATATGTCTGATTTGTTTATTATTTTTGCAGCTATCTTGATCTTAGATCTTTGATCATTCTAGAATATAAACTCATGATTTAACAAGTCACTTAAACTGATAGGTGACACTAAATTGAATTCTGTTTCAAAGCCCCAGACATAGAATTCTATCTGTGCTTATCGTGATCAAAATTTTACTTACAAATAATCAATAGGGTATTAGCAGCTGTCCTCTCAAAAAATACAAGATAACTTCATTTTTCCCTACTTCTTTTGTCTGCAGACAACTCTGTCATCATGGGAAGATACCAAATAAAGCCATTTTATTATTTCAGTCTTGGTGTGAGATACTAGATTTGCAGTGTAAGGGTACATAAGAACACAAGCTGCCATTTCACTTTGGGCGAATTTGCTTCAAAATAATGGCTAGGAAAATGAAGGCTCAACCTTTATGGCAACAATTCAGTAACAGAGAGGTGATCAAGGTCACTCGACTGCACCAACATCCATCACACAGCATGATCACACAGGTATTACTCATTTGGTAGCACAGAAATGAAGTCATTATAACCAAGGGCTGTGTCACGAGATCAGCATCTGCTGCTCTGGAAAGAAGCCGCTCATCTTTGCCTAATGGTTTATATTTGAGAAAGGTCTCAGCACCCAGAATTTAACAGTCCATGTCATTAGCTTGTAACTATTTTTAAAAGAAGACAGCCCTTTTGTTTCCTTTATTGCCATATTTCTTATGCCAGAATGTCAGAAGTCATAAAACTTGTGAGATTTTAGGGGGTGTATTTTATTTTATTTTTTTTAAAGATCTTATTTATTTATTTTAGAGGGTGGAGAGTAGTAGAGGGGGAGGGAGAGAGAATCAGAAGCCCCACTCCATGCCCAGCTCAGAGCCCGACGAGGGGCTCGATCCCACGACAGCGCCATCATGACCAGAGCTGAAACCAAGAGTTGGATGCTTAACTGACTGAGTCACCCAGGTGCCCAGGATGTATTTTATTTTATTTTATTTATTTATTTTTTTTAATATAAAATGTTTTTGATTGTTTTTGAAAACATTTAAAAAACAATTTTTGAGCACTTTCAATAAAAAAAGAGAACTGAAATGCTACTGCAATATTCAACTACTGTAGTTTCAGCAGGTACAACAGACAACAAAACACTGGGGAAATCTGACTTTTTGCACTAAATGAAAACATGAAACAGGGCTTGTTTTTTGTCATTTATGGTGTAGTAAAGCACATTATAGTACAAGACTATTATATGAACCTCAGATGCACTGCACAAAAAAAAAAAAAAAAAACTTTCCTTCTTTTCAGTTCAAAAGTCAGTGCTTATTGCAATTATATGCAAAATTATTTACTTCATGAAGTCTTATCATGATAAACAGTATGAAAAATGTTTTAAACATGAAAACAATGAAAATAATTTGAGAAAAGAACATATTCAACAATAACTAAGCAGAATTAGTAAACATAAAAAAGTAATAACTTGTGAATAACTATGCTTGCCTGGTTAACACTGAACCAGCTTTAATACAGCCAAGGGGGGAAAAAAAAGTGGTTACAGGAATACCTAGTACTGTACAAGATAAGTCAATAACACTCATGCACATTTTGTGATCATGTATTAACATGGTGAAGCAAACTAAATTCTTCCTGCTGTAATATTCTCATGTAAGAGAATAAGAAATAGAAATATCTCATTGAGATCAATGCACATTGCTACATAAGACAATTTTATCTGTCACTTTGATGACATTTTGTCTTTTCATAATGAAACACATTTAAAAAGTTTAATCTGTGGACTGTATTGGTTGCATTTATCCTAAGAGATGTGCCTACCACAGGTTCAACAAATTTAGTGCAATATATGAACCCCAGAAAGTTTGCTGGACGAATTCAACCAAATTTAAAGTGTTTGCTGCAATACTGTACAGAGGGTTAAAAATCCTCCAGTCTTTATATTTTTATAAAAAAAGATTTCCA